AACCGAAGGGATAGAGGTCGTACCCAGGACGGAGGTCGTGACATACGACGAAAGCCGAGAGGAAGGTAGGTGCAGGCGAGGCGCCGTGCACCTTCGGAATTCAGGCTGCGCCGCTCGTTTATGAAATATTCGATATATCCCGAAGGCCGAGTGAAATTTCTGACGCGGCAGAGTATCTTCTAAGAATCCTCCGGCGCATTATCCGACTCGGAAAGTATGTCTGTCACGAGAAGACGTAACACCGGTGGCCTCAATTCGCGCGGCGAACGCGTTAAAAACGCAAATTTCTCGCAAACTCCCGTTTAAACGCCAATATTTTATATCGGTCTTGCATAATAATCAATCTCTAATATGTATAAAATAACATCCCGTAATAACAGATTTATCTAGGTATCCTTTGCGCATAGAGTGTGTTATGAATTATTCAGAGTACTGCAGAGACTATCGCTTCGAAAAGTTTGCTCTCGGAGAATAAGAAAGTGGCGAAACAAAAGAGGAATAATCAAGAACACACCATGAAAGAGAGAGGCTAAGAAAATCGTATTGCTGAGAATCCAAAAGACCTTGTTTTTTTTTCTTTTTGTTTTTTTTGCAAGGTTGATTGAACGGTCGCGCAGAATTTCTGAAAGCAACGCTACGCCGCTGACCTTAATAGTAAAGACCTTTCGCAACGATGGTAGATGCATCGAGATGGTAAATATTTATCAAGATTAGCTTCGAAGGGAGTGCGGCTTTTTGTTTCCATGTTTGTGAGTCCGTCTTCTTAGCGCGCCTTCGGGCTCTAACAGACACAAACTGCTTCATCCAATTCGACTCTGCCTCTGCGACTCACTATTCTCTCTCGACACCCTACATATCGTGCTTCACTGTTCCGTCCCTTTATTTTTCCTTCCCTCCTGCGCCCGAGGGTAGATCATTTACAACGTCGGTTGTGAGAAGTTCAAGCAGAAGGCGGAAACTTTAACTTCGGACAGGCTCCCATCTGGCTGCTTTTCATTCAACACAAGGACTACAACATAGACGTAAAAATCTTCCGCGTAAAGAGAGAGAGAGAGAGGTGAAGGTCTGCGGATTGTATTGAAAAGAAAGCGCATTCGCGACAATAAAAATAGTGCACAATGAGAAGGGCAACGCGAGGGATTTGTTTTCTAGATAAATAAATAATAGCGAGAGAAGATCAGATTTAACTTCACTTCTTTCCTTCATGCTAGAACAGAGATAACAACTTGATGCGATCCGTCCGCTACGGCGCTGAAAATCCAACGATCATTTTTCACAGCTGCCAAACGTTCTATACTGATAATCGTCAATATGTTATCTAAGAACTAGCTGCTCACGCCGCACATTTTGCAGGCGTCACATCGCTGACAGCCGGTTAGTACGGTCCGTTATAATAACTGCGATCCGTTTCGCGGAAACGCGCGGCGGTCGAACGCGCGACTTCGCCGGCGGTCGGCCGGAGACTTGACGAATAGCCTAGCTCGACCGCGCGGGTAATCCACTCGCCGGAAGGTCCGAGATCTCATCCATTTTAAGCAACTTCGTCCTACTTCCACCTAGATCGCCGTACGACCTTTCCAACCGGTTCGAGCACTTCGCCTACGGATAGATATCTCGTGGAATATATCCCACGCTCGTTCGCCTCCACCCACGCTTCCCCGCATAGCTGGCTCATTCCTCAACCCCCTCGTGACCGTTAGGTCTTGGGAATCCAGCGAGATCCCGACTAGTCTCTCGTGTATCGACCTTTGTCTCGCGGTTGGCGACCGCACGGTCGACAGCCGCGTAGAATTCGAGGCAAACCACGTGACACGAGATGGAATCGGCGAGAATATACGTTCAATCTGAAGGGGATAATAAGATTGACAGCGATTATGAACGTGATATGCATGAGCCAATCGCTGTATTTTCTATACGATACTGACACGATTGTTCTCAATAATGTAGGAAAAATATATTGATATTGTGCGCTGACAGTTTTGTTTACGAAATTGTGTCGCAATCTGAATAATGCGTAGAGAATAATTTAATTAACTTATTTATACGTGTGCAAATATGGCGTGGAGATATTGTGCATTACATCTAACAATAAGACAGATATATATGCGGAACAAATATGGATCGATAAACAAAAGGATAATTTTATAATTTGAAAGATAAATATGATTTGTCGCTCCATCATGGGCATGATAATCGTATTTGATGTCGCGTTTGATGTCAATCTGATATTCAGCATTCTATAAATATCATTTCCACGTTAAATGCCCATTGAATTATCGTTGCGCAAACAAAGCGCCATCGTGCTGCCTTACCGGAAATACGAAGTCCGGCGAATGAAGGCCAAAATATTTGAACGATAAGAGCAGGCTTAGCATTAAGTGGGCTCTTTGTCAACCCCACCTACTGCTAATATTCAATTTAAATTCTGCCCACGATACACGTAAAACCGGCGAGTCTGCATTTCGCGTTGTACTCTCCAAAAGCAGATCTCGACCCAAATTATATCAGAGGATGTCACGTTTAATTTAAAAAAAAATGGAGATGTTAATTCCGGTGCGAAGCTCACGTAGGATATCGAGGAACGGTTTGCGACGGAAAGAGAAACGCCAAGATACAATATCGAAAAGTTCTACAATCGACTTTTAACGAGATTCTTTAAAGATTGCAGAATGTAGAGCATTTGCAGTCGATTGTTCTCGACCGGGGCCCTCGGAAACATTATGAATGTATATGCTGCGCCGTAATAAGGTAAATCGAATATCCGCCGGCGAATCGACACCGAGACATGCAAGATGCATTTCGGTTATACGAAGAATATTGCATTATGCGAAACGTACCGCGTTACAGCATTTTTCGGTCGAGTGAAATTCAGGAAGGGAGAAGATGAATTTATGCGATCGATAGAAGTATCCCGACCGGGCTCTACTTCGGATTCGAGCTGCTTCGCTGCCTTCCATGATTTTATTGAATCGGATAATATGTCATATCATACGTTTAAGGCGATGTGTCAATGAATATATTCCGCATGAGTGCCGCACGGTCAATATGGACTAACAGAATAATATAAATACAATCATACGATTATATATTTATGTGAATTTAAATAAAAATGAGTATCAAAGAGCTGTTGGCGAATTTGAAATCTGCACTTGGTTCGAGAAGTATTAACTTTCAGATGCGACGCGACAATATTCGTTAAAAAAGAATCGCATTAATGTACATAGATAATTCTTGTTGCGAGCTAGATACATTAGCAAAGAAGCGTGTTACTTTTTATAGTATAATGTTGCTTTCGCGTGCGAAAATCCGCGAAGTATAGATATCGAGCACACCCTCGCGTGGTGTGAAACGAGAGATAAATCGCCCGCGGTAACAAAAACGGTCGAAAATAGAAAAAGAACATTAGACAATCATATGAATAGAGTATCTAAAATAGATTATATATGAATGAAGAGTTTTTGGCTGTTTATTTTAAGCAATTAAGCTTTTTATTCTCCGAAATACGTCATCATTAATTTTTAGATGTATATATTTCTAACAACTTGCTCTCCGTTAGACCAGCATTAAATATTACCAGCAGTATCTGAGTTAGATTTACGAAAATGCATATATTCCGCCGGGAAGTAGCTGTAGCGTATAATAATTGGTAATGCTGGCGTAAATTGATAAATTGAAGTAATTCCGATGCCAGCCAACGAGAGCCACGTTGCAACACCCTAGCTACGCCAGCCAACAGTACGAAATGCATCTAATTGGTGATCCCGAAGGCGCGAGCAAGCTCGTAAAGTTAGAACAGGAGCAGGACGTTATTCGCAAAGTCGTGCTCGCTCTGTACTTGGCAGATAGCCTAATTTATCATTGTTACTGTCTCGTCTTGTTCGTAAAATGAGTCGCGTGTGAGAATGTGCCCGTGCATTTTCTCCGCTCCCGATCCATTATTTCTTCTCGGTGGTTTAGAACCCGTTAAAAGGATATCATCTTGAAAACTTGCGATTCTTACGTATAGACGAATGTAATACGTGATTAAATATCAAATGAAAATTTGTTCCGTACGGTTTAACCGCTTTTCGCGTATTTTACGCGTAAATGTTCATTCTGCATTCCTCCTTTTTATTCCAGATTTGCTATTATCCCATTATTACGTGATACTTGCATTATTCCATATATGCTCTTATCAAGCGGATATTACATTTTTTACTGCACTAAATAAATTTGTAATTTGAATTTAATTGTACATTCATGAGATATAAGTTAAATACTTGTTAGAGTTGATGCAATGCCTCGCGCAATTTTCGATAATTTCACCCCGGAGTGCCATACTACTCTCCTTCTACTCACTTTCTGTCAGTACTTTCCGTAGTCGCTACGCAGTGTAACTCATGATCTAATTTCCCCTCATTTACGCGCACGATCGTGCATTCCTCGTCTCTATCTGTTAATTCGCTTTAGTTACACGAACAATTCGTTAAAATAAACGTAATCCTCTTTGTAACTGGCATACCAAAGCTTCCAAACATTTAAAATGCTCCGAATCGACCGGTTCTAACATACGTCCATGGATTACACGGCGAAAATTTTAAATCCATTTGAATTCACTCTAATGCATAGACCGCGGTCTTCAAATTATTCAATTATAAATCGTTTATATATATATAAAAAAAAAGAAGCATATGTGCGCCATTAGCATGGACCGTAAACGTGGAAGTTCTCTCGCCGCTTGCGTTTTAACATAATAGCGCCCACACTTTCCCTGTTGTTATTGTCGTCACCGGCAGAGCCGAAAAGAATGGCGCGATTCTGCGATTCAGGCGTTAAACGTCCGGAAGAAGTCGGCCGCCGTCCTTCTCGCCCGGCCGGTCCCCTTTTCATCGCAAAGTTGAATAAAGGAGGAGTAGCGGGGCCGAGGGAGGGTGGGTGCGCGAAGAATGCAGAAGCGGGACGACTCTTATCGAGCTTTCTTCTGTTTTTACCTCTCACGGATTTTTGTATCTTTATTTTAGATTGCTGCCGGCACCAGAGCGACTCGGAGGCGTAGCCACTGTGTGTAACTCTCGTCTTTCGTGGAGGTTGAACGAGAGAAAATCCGGGGCGAGGGTAGGCGAGAGAGATTCGTCCGGCTGTTGCCCTACCCTCCGAAGCAGGCCGAGCGGTGGACGTGAGGCAAGAGAAACGGCGAGAAAACGAGAGAAAGAACAAAAATCCGCCGGAGAAAGAAGGAAAGCAAAGTAGTAGGAGAACGGTTTTCTCTCTCGAAGGAATGGAGTTTTTAGTTCATCCCGAGGGAATCGCGAGGTAATAACCTTCTTCCGCGAGACGGTTATGTTCCATAAAAGAGAGAAAGGGAGAGAGAAAGAGACAGAGACAGAAGGTTGCACACCAAGGTTTTTCCGTCCGAAATGGAGAAACGCATGCGATTAGCCTTCTCGTTTGTTACTCACCTCGTATCTCTTTCATTTTCGTGTTTTCCTTTTCTTATCAACCGTCCACATATTTATTTAAAATCTTATCCTCTTCACTTTTACTTCTTTTGTCTTAACTATCTTTCACGCATACGTATACGGGACTCGGTGTACACAGAGGATTGGACACATTTTGTCACGCGATCTTTCCTCGCTCTGCTTCGCGGTTCGCCAATAACGGAAAAACCGACGGTCTTTTCTCCACGAACGGCAAAGCGATATGCTCTATTGTTCGAAAGAACGCTCCATTGTGCAGAAGTCTTGCGTAGCATGAACCGTACATCGTGAGAAAACCACGCGTTTGTTTGATCGCGGAAGGAGAAAACGAATGATATATATATTATTAGTTATTGCTATTTTTAAACGACCGGCAATTAATTAATGAATATATAGTATATATATATATATATATATATATATATATATATATCTAATGCAATAATGATATATATCTAATATATATTCATTAATTAATCGCCGGTCGTTTAAAAATAGCAATAATAACTTGCAAATTCAACTTTGCTTTTTCCCACAACGCGAATAGATTCGCGTGCAGAGAATAATCGCGAAAAAATCGAAGCGGCATCAAACGCCATTAATACCGCGCCGACGAGCGATGCCTTCCGATACCTTGTTTCATTGCCGGCATAATATGGCTAAGGGTATTACTGGCGCCGGCACAACAAAGAGGTCATCACGGATCATACAATGGACGCGCTAAGTGACGATGACGGGTAGGCGCATCCCGTCGGGACGGGCATGGAAGCGAGCAACGGAACGCAGTATTGATACCGGTATTTCTCGCGTAGCTCAAGCTCGACCGACAGAATTCAGAGATTCCATTTGGCATTCTCCAGAGACAACAGGGTGGCTGCTGGTGTACGTGTGCAACCGCCTATGCTACCTCCGTCTCTCCCTCTCTCTCTCTCTCTCTCTCTCTCTGTCTCTCTCTAGCAGTCGCGACCACACACGCATGCACATATAACATTCGCGCATCCCACCTGTATCTGTCCGTCTCATCGAATGCACACTTACGTGTATACGAGCGCAGCCGGCCCCATCTCTCTCTAATAGCAGCCCTCTCGTATGCCGTTACGGATCTGTGTACAGATACGCAGCTGGCGTTACGGCCATGCGCGACAATGGCCTGCGATACCTATATAGCGAATGATCCGGCGATATACCTGTCGACCGATGCCGTTCGACAGTCGGCGATAGCTTCCTTACGCTGTCAGAACCGCGATTCCGCCGTGATATCTTCCGTCTGTGCTCCTATCCGTCCGCAAATGCGCTGGTGCGTTTCTCCGCACGCATCCATGCTTCTATGACGTCTTGTATCTCTGATGCCACTCTCGGGGGCAAACTCGCGCGTATGGCTTTCAGTCAGAAACAACAGCCGGGCATATTACCACCATTAATCATACGTATTGAATAGAACACTGGTGAGAGTTTGAGAGAGACCGCGTTAGAGAGAAATGAGAATGCGGCGTGAGAGACGGAGAAAGAGAAAGTGGACGTGTAAGTACCCAATCCACTCACACCCTCTTGACAAGCTCCCAGACACGGTATCTCGTTAATTATACCAACGCTTCTCCCCCCT